AAAAAAAAAAAAAGGAATTAATGTATTCAATATGTAACAAAAACCGTTGCATTAGTAGCAAATTTTCTTCTCGAATATTTATGGCTTATTGAAATGCTACTGTTCTCTATATTCCATTTAGGTTATTTTAAAAAACAGTTTTTGATTTTAATAAAAGGCAAAAAAAAAAAGAAGCATTTCTCTCAGTGATATTTTGCAGTAATACATTGCAAAGCTTTGTACCCGTTTTTTTTTTCCAAATACGAATTAGAGCTGTTAATATAGCGATATGCAAAAAAAAAAATCGGCAAATAGGTTAAGTTAAATTCTCATTAGACTCATTATAAAAAGTAAAATTTACAAAAGAATAATGTATATATTTATATATCTTAAATACTTTTTTTTCTTTGCTTTAATAATGATAAACTTATTTATTTCAAAAATTAATGTTGTTTATTTAAATTTATAAATGTAACTTTGTTTAAATTATTATTTAAATTTCTTCAAATAAAAAAGAACTGAATTAAAATTTTATTGCAATTTTTTTGTTTAATTTTAAAAAAATTTTGTTTTAAATTTTATTAAAAATTGTAAGAAAAAATAAGTTTTTTTTTTTTTCTGTATTACTCAGCTCGGAATATTATTAATGTAAAAAAATATTGTCTGTTATTAGTGAATCTTAGTTAGTGCTATAAACAGTTAATCATTGATACAAACAGTGAATGATAGTGACAAAAATCAAATCAGTCGAAGAAAATGGCAAAAAGATCAATTTTTTTAAATAAATTTACCTGTTTTTTTTCCAATTTTGTATAAAAAAAGTCTTTTTTTTTCAGATGATTCAAAATTTGTCATATTATTCTATTTGTTGTCTATTACATTAAGTAATCTTTTCTTTTTTTTTTTTTGATATTATTGTTCTGTTTTTAACGTTTGCGTTCAGAAAAAAAAAAAAGAAACAATTCACCTATTTAAATTATGGATATTTTGAACAAAAAAAAAATCTGAACGATTTGTAAACAGTTCGTAAATGAATTGAACAAATTTTGATACAATTTTGAAAATGCCGTTTACAGTTTTGTGATTACTGGCGAAACAAATATTGATGACGATGGTGATTATCTGTCTAATTCAACAACCTCTTCTTCCCGAGCTTATAGATATGCTTCAAATTATATTTGATTATAGTTGTTTTAATTCCAATTATATACT